GGATGTTACCTTTAAATACAATAGTAAAATAGAAATTTGTATGTATATCTATCTATCTATCTATCTATCTATCTATCTATCTATATATATATATATATATATATATATATATATATATATATATATATATATATATATATATATATGTATATCTGTATAATAGTAAGGTTAATAAAGTTTGAGGAATAAAAGGCCAACAAAATGATAAAAATATTGACAGTAAGACTGATGAAATTTATTAAATACTAGCTTTTGAAGCACGAAGAAAAAGATTTTAAATTTTCGGACACGCCTGTATTTTATTTTAATCTCACACACGACAAACGCACAAACACACACACACACACACACACACACACACATATATATATATATATATATACTTGTATGTATGTGCGTGTGTTATATAAATACGATATGTCGTGGTGGTATAAATATATATATATATATATATATATATATATATATATATATATAGATATCACTGCACATTTATTTATCTATCTATCTATCTATCTATCTATCTATACATACATACATACACACACACACACACACATATATATATATATATATATATATATATATATATATATATATATATACGTGATGAATTTACTACCTGCTTCGTACATAGATAAATACCGAAGAATGGAATTAAAAGTTCCACCTCTCGGTCTCGCCCTGTTGTTTGTACAAATGAGAAATTAGTTGAAATATATATATATATATATATATATATATATATATATATATATATATATATATATATATATATATATCGATATATATTATTATATATCAGGAACGATATTTGGAGAAAATATATGAGAAAATGGAAAAACTACTCTTGTGATGTGTTTCGTCCTTTGGGACTTCCTCTCGCAAATATTATTATGATTATGCGACCACAAATGCACACGAACGAGGGATGCCGGGAATTTTATCAATTTTATTTTTTTTTTTATCTAGCCGATTTCATTAACAGTTTTTTTTTTTATGTTTTAACTTCCAGCACATTTGTTACTAGATATCCCACTCTGTAATCATAGAAGCTCTGCCAGGAATGGTGAAATGTTTTAAGACCGATGGCATAAACAAAAGAAAAAAGTAAAGTATCTAAGTGAAATCGGCTCGAAAAAAATAAATAAATAAATAAATGTAAAATTCCCATCATCCCTCATTTGTGGTCGCACCGCCATAACAATTTTAGTCCGATGAAATCGTCAAGTATGAAACGCGTCAAAAGAAAACTTTGTCAAACACACACACACACACACACACACACACACACACACACACACATATATATATATATATATATATATATGTCTGTACATGTTAATATATTAATAGGTTGCTTATAACTTTTACATATCTCTTCATGCTTGCTATTATTAGAGGCGGCTCGATTTTAAGTTCTGAGCCTGAAAGTAAAAACTATGACATGAAGAGGCCCACCCAACAAATGTAAAACTCTGTATCAAAAAGTTTTATCCTCCACATTTCTTAACATATTTTTCGGATTTTATATATTGTACAATATTACAATTAATGAGATTAAAACAATTTACCACATACACATGACGAATTCGTCCATGGGAAGGTTGCTTTTCCCTGGACATATCAATGCAAATACATTTATTAAAAGTATTTTACTAAGGTTTTAGTAAATGTATTTGCATTGATAAGTGCAGGGAAAAACTACTTTCCTGTGGACGAAATGATCATCTGTATGAGGTAAATTGTTTGGATCTGATTAATTGTAATTCACTTCGATGCTCTAAAATAAAAATTATATTGAGCTCTCTTTTGTGGATCAGTTTTATATTTTATATTAATAGGATCTATTTGGAATACTTACCCACGGATTTTTTTACCCCTTTTTTACCTGGTATATATATATATATATATATATATATATATATATATATATATATATATATATATATATATATTATAAATATGTATAAATATATATATATATATAAATATGTATAATATATATATATATATATAAATATATATATATATATATATATATATATATATATATATATATATATATATATATATATATATTATTTGCCTGGAATAAATTAGGCTCGTATCGATTTATCTTTCCATCGATAGACAATTTTCTTTTATTTGGGTTCGATCGAAGCACTACTTTAGATTACGATGCAAATAATTTCTAACTGCGATGCCAATATAATTTCTTCGTGACCACCCAGTATACTGCTAATTAAAAAATAATATCTACTTCTTACGTCTCCACCTAAACTCTGAAATTTTATTTACTATTTATTTTTACTCAATAGGAGTTGATAGGTTCGCCTACCGCCCGGTTCACACTCCTTTCCGGTCTTTTGAACAGCAGTAGAGGCTTATGCCTTGTTTCCTCTTTACGATTGAGTTTCCGGTTCCTTCTACTGTTCGTTTCATTCTCTTTCCCTCCCACTAGCTCATTGCGTCTTAGTGGCATTATCGCCTTGCTTGGGGTGAAATGATTAAAAAAAAGATTGCTTCGATTTGGTTAAGAAGGCCTGCTAGTATATAATAAATATCATTAGTTTTATTATCAATATTATCATTTTTCGTTGTTGTCGAATTTCTCACACCCGACTCTCTGTCTATCTATCTATCTATCTATCTATCTATCTATCTATCTATCTATCTCACTTTGTTCATATCTATCTATCTATCTATCTCACTTTGTTCATATCTATCTATCTATCTATCTATTCTATCTATCTATCTATCTATCTATTTTCAGTATCTCATTCTGTTCATATCTATCTCTGACCATTATCTGACTGTCTATTTATCTATCTCATTTTGTTCATATCTATCTATCTATCTATCTATCTATCTATCTATCTATCTATCTATCTATCTAATTTTGTTCATATCTATCTATCTATCTATCTATCAGTATTCCGATGGAAAAAATTCGCAACATTTTCTCAACCAGCTGTGTGTGTACTACTGTTATTCATGCCTTCCTCTATTCGTGTGTGTGTGTGTGTGTGTGTGTGTGTGTGTATGTGTGTGTGTGTGTGTGTGTATAATTTATGAGAGTGCGAAAATGGTTGAGAGACTAGATCTACCATCCAGTCCCTTTTGAACGAAGGATAGAAGCATCTGAGAAGACGGGGAATGGTTGGGCGTTAACAGGCAAGTAGTCCTACCCTGCTACCGTAAATTCTTTGTCTCCATACGGATTGTTCACAACTACTGATCCCTGGTAAATAGAGCCTGGCAAAAAATCATTTGCTGGTTCCGAGAGCAAATTCACGAAATTTCGACCAAAAGGCAAAAACCGAGGACAAGCGAGAAACGGAGTATAAAGAGTCGTTGATAGAATGATGCATTATGATATGCGTATTTTCAAATACATCTCACTACTGGTTTCATGGTACAGTGCGAAACATTTGAAGTGGGGTTGGCTTAGATTTATCCTGTATTTAATTTATACGATCATCAATATCAATTGATAGATAGATAGATAATAGATATGAAGAGAGATGATAGAGAGATAAAACATAGAGATATTTTATCACAGACAGAGATATGAGAGATGAGATTAAATAGAAAGATGATAGATGAAAATATTTGAGATATATAAATTTATAATAAATTCTAGATGAGATTCAAATATGTAGATTTTATGATGAATAAATATTTAAGTGACAGAGATGATGTTTTCATATTGAGATTGATAGATATATGATAAGAGAGAATAAATTGATTTTAGAGATATGAAGAGACTGAGATAGATAAATAGATAAGGTACAGAAGAGAGAGAGATGACAGATAAAGATATATATATATATAGATAAATATATTTATATTTAAGATGTGATGAATTATATATATATATATATATATATATATATATATATATATAAATATATATTGAGAGATAGATAAAAGGATAGACTCAGATAGATAGATATATATATAATATATATTTTTAGATAGATAGATAGATAGACAGATACACATGAAGAGAGACATTACATATATATATATATATATATATATATATATATATATATATATATATATATATATAGATAGATAGATAGATAGATATAGATAGATAGATGTAATTACGGAAAAATCTGTCAATAAAACAAATTATATTGGTTAAAAGAAATTAATAAAAGAACCATTTAAGGATTATCCTTGAATTCGTATGATTTTGCTTCCGTTTGTTTCCTATTCCTTCGATCGGTGATTTTCAAAATATTCTTAACTGATCGTCCCTTGTCTCCCAGGCCACTTAGTTAACGTCCCACCGCCACAACCATATAAAGACATATCTCTCTTGCTGTCATGTATACTGCAAATTCCAAAAAATTGTCTACTTCATCTCTATATATCCAAGGTCTCCGCCTAAACTCTGAAATTTTATTTACTATTTATTTTTACTCAAAAGGAGTTGTTAGGTTCGCCTAACGCCCAATTCACACTCCTTCCCGGTCTTTTGAATAGGAGTAGAGGGTTTCCTCTTTAGGATTGGGTTTCCAGTTCCATTTAGTTAAAAAGGCATACTAGTATATAATAAATATTATTAGTCTTATTATCAATATCATTATCTTTCGTTGTATTTTTGTATTTTTGTATTTGTCGAATTTCTCACAAACAAAATATCTATCTATCTATCTATCTATCTATCTATCTATCTATCTATCTATCTATCTTCATTATCTATCTATCTAATTTTGTTCATATCTATCTATCTATCTATCTATCTATATCTATCTATATATATATATATATATATATATATATATATATATATATATAATATATAACTTTACAACTCAGTTGCAAAAGTGAAAAATGACGAGACGTGATTACTGGTATGTCTGCTAATGCGTTATTCCTGTTTCTTGCATCGATTTGCCGGCCAATCAAAAGCGTTTCGTAGATGCTGACATCCGCTTCTGCAACCCTGTCTCTCCAGAGCCACTTCACCTAATAAGTAAAATAATCTGACAGCTGCAATATTCACATCGACCAGATCAAACTCCGCCCCGGTCTTTTGAACAGGAGTAGATATTTATCCCATCTTCCTGTTTAGGATTGGTTCCAAGTTCCTTGTATAGTCTCAATGCCTTCCATTCCCAGCAACCTCTTGCATCTTAGTGGCATTATCGTCTTGCTTGAGAGGAACTATTTAAAATAAGAGTCAATTAAAAAAAAATCTTCGTAATAATTAAATAAACAGAAATAAACCTTGTCTCATGACCCCTGTTCACTATGGCCCTAGACACACAGACAGACAGATACACACGCACATTCACACATACACACATATATGTATTTGTGATTCTGTAGCGCCAAGCAACCATTTTTCCTTGCATGAAATACTGCTGCCATATATGGTCTGGTGCTCCCGCTGTTTGTCTCGAGGTCATAGACAAAATCCAGAGACGGATATGCAATGTGATAGGCCCTGATCTGGCATCCCGTCTATAGTCCCTCCCTCACAGACGTGCTGTGGCTTCCCTCTGTCTTTTCTGCAAGTACTTCCCTGGCAACTGCTCCGACGAGCTACTTTCCCTGCTTCCCATATTGCACGAATTTAAGCGTGCTACTGGCATCTGGGTCCCACCCTTTCACTGTCGAAACGGCTAAATATAGCTGTCTCTTTCCAACCAACAAATTTTCTCGCACTTCCTTCAGTGAAAATCCCGTCCTAGTAACCATTCGCCCTTGCATGGGGTATTGCTGCCATATATGGTCTGGAACCCCTTCTAATTGTCTCAAGGTCCTTGATAAAATCCAAAGAGAGATATGCAATGTAATTGGCCCTGATCTGGCATCTCGTCTGCAGCCGCTCTCTCACCGACATGCTGTTGCCTCCCTCTGTCTTTTTTACAAATACTTTTACGGTAACTGCTCCGATGAGCTGCTTTCGCTGGTTCCCAGACTTCATGAATTTAAGCGCTCGACTAGGCTGGCATCTCGCTCTCACCCTTTTACAGTCGAAACTGTTAAATGTAGCCGTCTCTTCTACTCCAATAGCTTCACGTCTCGCACTTCTCGCCTGTGGAACTCCCTCTCCATTTCTCGTTTCCCTGATAGCTATGATCTCCAACTATTCAAATGTAATGCCAATCGACGTCTCCAGATGCCTTGATCTATCCCCTATCCTTCTCTTCATCCTTTCCTCTATCACTCCTATTAGCTCTAGCTCCAACTCTCTGTAACCCCTTGCGTGCTAGTGACTTCCCGCCTTGCTTGGGGTTGATTGCTTAAAAAAAGTTATAGTCTTCAAATATTCAAATGTAATGTCAATCGATATCTTCTGATTCCTTGACCTTGATCCTTGTCCTTCTCTTTATTCTTTTCCCAAACACTCCTCTTTAATCTCATTCTCACTCTGTGTAACCCCTTATGTGCTAATGGCACTCCTGCCTTGCTTGCGGTGAATTGCTTAAAGAAAATCCACGATGTTCGAAGAAGAAATGTCCTCGCTAAGATCTACAATTTTGATTCATTTGCAGCCATTTTGACCATTGATCTGAGAAATCGCTTGTATACAAATGACAATTTCTGGACCACTTCGTTATCATTCCCCGCAAAAACATTGAAAATTAAAGCAAATGAAACTATAGAGTCATAATCGCCTTCGTCATCGAGGGACATTTAAAGGAAAGAAAGCTGTCCGAAACTATGATCGCCTATATCCTGAACGGACTCGGCATGTAAAAATAAAACAACTTCTGTCCGACTTCATAAATAAAACATATTTAAAGCATCCTCCTTATTTACCATATCCCCACGGGATCTAGACGGACACAGCTCCCTACGATTTTCTATTATTTAGTATCAGTGAACTAGAGATATAATGGTGTTGTGGCCTGTTTAAGGGCCAGAAAGAAAGACACTGAAGACAAAGGTAGGCTGAACAAGTGTATTGAAGATATATACAAAGCAAGAGTATTAGTAATAAGTCAATAGTTGTGTACGTCTACGGTATTTAATAGTCCCCCCACGAGGAATGTATGTGGCACAAGGCCGAGTTTAACGTGGGTTTATCCGAGCTCGTAGGCTCGGCCAAAAATATACCCTTTGAACCGGCCTAGACGTGTTCAGGGCCTGTCTACCTCCCCGGACGAAACCTTGCCCTTCGGCAAAGCTTCGTCCGGGTTTCTTCTCTGCCAAAGCAGAGAGTTCAACAGAAGTCAGACACAGAAGACGTCCACATAGTCAACTCGTCTACTCTGCCCTCACCGACTCAGTATTTATGAGAGGAGGAAGAGTCCATTCTACTGTAGGTGGGTTTATCACAACAAATCGTCTGGTTTTCAGTTGTTTTCCACGCAGTTTCATATTCAGATTCGTTTTCCTCCTTGACTGGTTGCCAACTAAGGCTCGAAAGCTCAGTCTCCCTCCCGCTCATAACTAAGTGTATATAAAATAGTGACAGTCATGCCCATAATTTTGGGAGCACTTTAAACAGTCCCGAATATCATTGTAAGAAGTTTAGAAGTGCTGACCCTACAAAGCGAAATCATCCATATTAGATCATTATTAAAATCAGCTAGATAAATACTGGAATATTAAAGCTGGGGGGATTGAGAAAGAACTCAATTGAGGACTGAGAAAAACAGAAATTTACATATATATATATATATATATATATATGCTGAATGTGAACTCGGCTCGTATCGATTTCGTCTTTACATCGATAGACACTTTGTTTTTATTTGGGTTTAGATTACGATGGAAATAATAATAATAATAATAATAATAATAATAATAATAATATCTGCATTGGAAAATATGTAACTTTTACGGGAAGGAAACTGCAGTGAAACTGGGTATGAACATTCTGCAGATCCGGTTATAGAGATAGAACCTGTTAGAATTTTACGGGACTTTACAATACACACAATAGATAGGATAATCAAAGTTAATCACCCAGACATCGTGATCAGAGACCACAAAAACAAAATGTGCTTTCTTATTAACATGGTAATCCCTGTAGACTGTAATGGATTTTTGAAGATCTTCAAAAAACTATTTAAGTACAAGAACCTTGGAATCGAAATCTCAAAAATGTGTTACATGAGAACATCAACAAGTTGCAGTCGGAGTTTTCGGTTTGATTGGAAAAGGTTGCGATAGTCTTATTGAAGGGATTTCTGGTAGCCAATGCCTTAAAGAAATACAAAATAATAATAATAGTAATAATAATAATAATAATCTCATGTACAACTCACACACTGCGAAGGGCTTTGTGTGATGTTGTTTTTTTATTTTTTGAAATGCTCAGTGAAAAATATCATGATTCCATTTCTGACCTTAGATCTCTGCTTGGGACCAGGAAAGAAATGATTACACACCAGAAATCAAAGGAAATAATAATAATAATAATAATAATAATAATAATAATAATAATAATAATAATAACGATGTAACTATCCTCTGGGACATGCCAATTCAAACTGACAATGAAATAAAAGCCAATAGACCTGATATTATCATAAAAGAAATTCAGGAAGTGTATGCTTATTGACATAGCAGTAACATTTGGGAGAAACACCTCCATGAAAATTATCGAGAAATTATCCAAATATAATGAGATCGAGACTGTACCAATAGTAATCGGAGTACTAGGCTTCGTAAGAAAAGGAATGGACAATTTTACTAACAGTATTCCAGGTAACATCATCAAACATGTTGCCCAGAGGATCGCTTTACTGGGAACATCCCATATATTAAGAAAAGTGCTATTAATTAAATGTCAATTCTTCTATAGGGTCTAAGGACCATAGTTTGGACCCGGCACTACAGGATACAAAACACGAAACATAACATACACAAATAATATTAATAATAATAATAATAATAATAGTTCTGGTGGTACACGAGGCATATCTCTAATGGTTTCTCATCTTAATTGGAAGTGTTAACATATAGATGTTATGTCTTCCTGAATTAAGATGTTACTCACGTTTCAGTTGCATTCCATACACACTGGCTGCCTTCATTTATTTTGTCGTGCTTATTACCAGCACAACCCGTTTTTTTCTCAAGACAAGCGAAAGTTTGTACAATGATATATATATATATATATATATATATATATATATATATATATATAACTTGTATGTAATTTTTAAAACATAGCTTGAAGAAGAGAGACATAATCTCCAAATGTTGTTAAACATTCTGATCTTAATTAATTGGAGCTGCTAACAGGACTATTTTTTTATTTGTCTTAGGTAAATTAAGATTAGCTACGTTAAGTAATGTTGCAGATTTGTTTACCTGTTGCCCGGCCTTAACAAGCTTGGCGTGTACTCTCCAGGCTGATGTATTGTGCAGATGCTCATGATGGCGAGTAGTTGGGAATTATCATGATCAGATGGCGATAAGATTGTTTTTTTTTTGTATGTTTTAAAGTTTAAAGAGTAAGGCAGCCAAGGCAGCATTGGAGTCACGTCTTGATACTTGGGAACACACGCAATCAGCGACCGTCGTAGTAAACTTGTTAATTCCGACTTAAAGGTATTTCTAACTAGGGCCCACCTGCCGGGTTATGCACTGCTTTTATCCAAGCCTCTCGTCATATTTTACACGTTTATCTGTGCTGCAATACCCTTATCAGTGTGGGTGTCATAATGACGTGTATTAGAGTGTTTTGTTTGTTTGTACCCCAGCGTCACAGAGTCGCGCTTTCATTCAATAATGACGACAATAATAAACTTGACGTCGAAGTTATACAAAGATCTACATGATAAGATTAGGCCTTATATTGATCTGGATATATGGCGACATTACAGCGGTCCACATGCTGAAAATGATACAAATATCAGCCTGAATCAGTCATGGAAATCACTATTCTTTGGGATTTAGTCAATCACGCTGACAGAGATTTTTATCACTTAAACCTTACTGTTTAGTGGGTACTCATATTTAGGTAGACGCTCTGTTTATTTAGTAAGCAGTATATTTATTTATTTTCGCCTACCGGCCTGAATATTCGAAAAATCTTATTGAAGAAAATGCGCGTTCTCCGGCAGGATTCAGGCATGCGTTTCCCTCGGAAGGGGAAACCGTCATTAGATCCGACACGCTTTAAATCTCTCAGTCGATAGCCAAACAAAACTACCTCAGAGCGTTTATTTTTCTCTAATGTCTCGAATATTCAGACGAAAATATACCGTTTAATAAAAAAACGGAACATCTATTCAAATACGAGTGTCCACTAAAAATGACGTTTAAAGTGATACAAATTTGTCGGATTAATAAATAAAAAAATCCATTACTTCTTTATAAAATTGCTTTGTTTACGTTTGGATATAAAAGTCAGCAGATATGATAATTTCAATGAATTATCTAAAAGTTTCTCGGATTAATAAATAAAAAAATCCATTACTTCTTTATAAAATTGCTTTGTTTACGTTTGGAAATAAAAGTCAGCAGATATGATAATTTCAATGAATTATATAAAAGTTTCTCAGATTAATAAATAAAAAATCCATTACTTCTTTATAAAATTGTTTTGTTTACGTTTGGATATGGAAGTGAGCAGATATGAAATTTTGGGAGTCTTTGATTCGAAGAATTTTGATTTAAGACCACAATCAGACTTCCTGATTGGTAAATATCCTTCATGGCCAAGTCGGCACAAGCAACTCGAATTTAACGACAGTTTTCCCTTCCAAGGGGGACACAAGTTCAAATCCTTCTGGAGGACGCACATTTTTCTTTACTAAGATGTCTCGAATATTCAAGTCGTTAGACGAAAATAAATATACCGTTTTTAGCTCAAATATGGGTACCGACTAAGAATAACACTCAGACATCGTGATCAAAGACCACAAGAACAGAGTATGCCTTCTAATTGACATGCCGGCCTCTGTAGATTGAAATGCATCTTTGAAGATCTTCAAAAAAACTATCAAAATACAAGAATCTTGAAAAGGAAATCTAAAAAGTATGGCACACGAGGAAGTCCGCAATTCCTGGTAGTCCCCCAAAATGTTCACACAATTACAGCCTACACCTTACGAAGGGTTTCATCTATGTAAAATATGTGTAACTTTTTTTCAAAAACTGTTCAGTGGAAAATGTCATGATGCCATTTCTGACCTTAGATCTCTGGTTGGAACCCGGAAAGAAATAAGTATACACCGGAAATCAAAGGAAATAATAATAATAATAATAATAATAAATAGCAAAGATTTTAAAAAAAAACAAACTATGAATGTACAACTATCTTGATGTGGAAATCTCAGAAGTGTGGCACATGAGGCCATCCATAATTCCGGTTGTGGTTGAAGCCCTCGGATTGATGGGGAAATGTTATGATAGACTCACTGAAGGGATTCCTGGTAACCCATGCCTTAAAGAAATACAAAAATTTGTACTCGCACATTACGAAGAGTTTTATCTATGTAAAATGTATGTGATTTTTTTTTTTTTACAAAAATGATCAATGGAAAATGTCATAAAGGTGTTTCTGACCTTGGGTCTCTGGTGGGGACCCGGAAGGAAATGTGTATACAACAGGAATCAAAGAAAATAATAATAATAATAATAATAATAATAATAATAATGATAATGATAATAATATGGGATTACACAATACACACTGACAGAACAATCAAGGCCAACCGCCCAGATATTGTTATCAAAGACCACAAACAAAAACGGTGCCTCCTTATTGATATGGCAGTCCCTGCTGACTTCAATGTATCTTTGAAGATATTCAAAAAACTGTCAAAATACAAGGACCTTGAAATAGAAATCTCAAAAATGTGGCATATGGGAACATCAACAATCCCTGTTGTAATTGGAGCCCTAGGATTGGTTGGAAAAAATTGCAGTAGACTAATTGAAGGGATTCCTGGAAGTTCATGCCTCAAGGAGATACAAAAAATTGTTCTGACAAGTACAGCCCACACCTTACGAAGGGCTTTATCTATGTAATTTAATTATTTTTTTTGTCAGTGGAACAAAGTACAAGGACCTTGAAATAGAAATCGCGAAAATGTGGCATATGGGAACATCAACAATCCCTGTTGTAGTTGGAGCCCTAGGACTGGTTGGAAAAGATTCCAGTAGACTAATTGAAGGGATACCTGGAAGTCCATGCCTCAAGGAGATACAGAAAATTGTTCTAACAAGTACAGCCCACACCTTACGAAGGGCTTTATCTATGTAATCTTTTTTCTTTTTTTTTTTTTTTTTTTTTGTCAGTGGAAAGTGTCATGACGCCATTTCTAACCTTAGGTCCCTGGGCAACCCGGAAAGAAATTTTGTAAACGCCAGAAATCAAAGAAAATAAAAAAATAATAATAATAATAATAATAATAATAATAATAATAATAATAATAATAATGCAACACTTAGAGAAGAAAAAAAACATAGATATTAGAGAATTATTTAAGATCAGCTCGGTCAATACTAGAATATTCAGATAGTTTGTCATTTGATTCTGTGAAAGCCAGAAAGATTTTTTGTTTCCT